GATGGGAGGATTGGGGATGATTGGGGATGGGAGGATTGGGGGGTTTGGGATTGGATGGGATGGGATGGGATGGGATGGGATGTTGTCTATGTTGTCTATGTTGTCTATTCGTAGACTGTAGCTATGGTGTCTATGTTGTTTGTAGCTATCGTAGCTATTGTAGACTGTGGCTATGTTGTTTGTCTATATGTATTTCATTGCGAATGGGAATAGGAATAGGAATACAGTTCATCGGAAATACGGTTCATTGCAAATGGTAATGGGAATGGGAATGGGAATACGGTTCCTTGGCACTACGGTTCATTACGAATAAAGTTCATCGGCACTACGGTTCATTGGCAATGGGAATACGGTTCATTGGCAATAGGAATGGGAATGGGGAATCGGTATGCGTTATTATGCGTTATTATGCGTTATTATGCGTTATTATTACTATGCGGGCTGTTTTTTTTGCTTGGGAGTTGCTTGCTGGGGAGTTTCTTTTGCTTGGAAGTTGCTTGCTGGGGAGTTGCTTAAGGCCGCGTTTGGTTCGCCAACGGCCGTTAGGATTTACTAGTAAAATGACCGTTTGCGAGAGGTTGACCGTTTTGCAAACGGTCGGGGGTGTTTGGTTTGGCACCAACCGTTTCATTTTCCAGTCCCAAACGGTTGCAAACGGTTGCAAAAGGACCTCGCCAGCACCGTTTGCAACCGTTTGCAACTGACAAGACGCAACACAACCACCGAAAAAAATGACTCCAGAAGAAGCCCTCGCACGACGCAAAAAAATACAACTGAAACGCCGTAAAATCGCCATTATTCTCGCCTTGTACGCACGTTTCTACCTTTTAAAGACGCCTGTCCGCACCTCCATTCGCACTGGAGACATTTTCACGCACGAAATCCTCGATGCCCATCCACGCCGAGCCCTCAAAGTCCTCAGGATGCCCGTCAGCACTTTTTTAGATGTGCGTCACGTTTGCTGCGTCTCTTCGTACTCTTGGGCGGCATTGTTGAGACCGGGAATTGATCTGTACACTGGGGAAGGAAGTCTTCACGGTCAAAATTTGCAGCGGCGTTGAAGATGTTTGGTGGGGCGACAGGGGTCTCTGCGTGGCAACAGACGGTCGCCCAACCAAACACCTTCTCAGCACAAAATCATAACGGTTGCTCCATGGTCCGACCGTTTTGACACCGTTTGCACCAAACGGCCGTTGGCGAACCAAACGCGGCCTAAGAGTTGCCTGTGTTTTTTGGTTGGGGTTTGGGAGTTGCTTGTATTTTGGTGCTTTTTGGCTGGGGACTGGAAGGGAAGTGACTGAAAGGTAGACATGAGGCTAACCATAACCATAACGATAATCATAATCATAATCATAATCATAATCATAATCATAATCATAATCATGAGCCTAAGCCTAAGAATAAGCCTGAGAATAATCCACAGAATAATCCACAGAATAAGAATATCCAGTAAATCATCCAGTAAACCATCCAGTAAATCCAACAAACCAACCCACAATATCACCAAACCACAATAAAAGTAAACCACAATATAAAAAGCCATGGTGTCGACCTTAAGAAGTGCTAGCCTCTAGGGTCTAGATAGAGGTTGGTAGCTTGTTCCTTATGCCTACTCGCCACTCATAATGTGATTGGATTTACTGACCTACCAACTCGTGTCTATTTCTTTTTACATTATGGGTTGTGGTGTTGAGGTTTAGGAGGTGGGAGGATTTTGGGGCAGAGGTTGGAGGGATGAGGGTTGAGGGTTGGGGGGTTGTGTTACTTGCTTGGGGATTGGATGGGATGGGGATTGGATTGGATTGGATTGGATTGGATTAGATTAGATTTTTTGGATTGGATTGGATTGGATTGGATTGGATTGGATTGGATTGGATTGGATTGGATTTGATTTGGATTGTATGGATGGATGGGGGATTGGATTGGATTGGATTGGATTGGATTGGATTGGATTGGATTGGATTTGGATTTGGATTGGGGGGTAGGGGGGTATTATCTTCACTATCGTCACCTGTGGTTTGATCATGATCATGATTAAGATAGTTGAGAAAGTCATTATCTAGTAGGTACATAGGTACATAGGTACATAGGTAAATACTGTATCCTACATGATTCCGGAGACTTTTCAGCATAAACTCCAGGAGTTACTAGTTAGCATTGTTTTTGGTTCTGTGATGTATGATGACTTTTGCTAATAGATGGGAAGTTATTTGAAACCCTGGAAATGGAGGATCGAGTGCTCAGTGGATGCTATGGTTTCTGGTTGAGGTTTCTGGTAAAAGGTTCCTGGTGCTTAAGTGATGGGGGTTTTTACGGGGATATAGAGACGGAGGTTAGTCAGTGGAACAGAGAGTTGGGTTTGTTTATTTTGTTTACTGGGCTTCTTTATGATAACCTCGTTGGGATTTTTTTTTTGGGGGGGGGGGGGGGGGGGGGGGGGTTATAGTGAATAAGAATTATGAGCCTGCTTGTGCAATTTTACTTTGTGACAATTCCGATAATTTCGAGGTACCTAGTACTGCAGTCTTCAAGCAACAATTCCATGCGGAGTATGTTTTATTGGTACAGTAAGTACAACGAAAGTCAACGTCCGGGAGCCGTTGTATCAGTTATTCAGGAGTCCAGATTCCAGATGCAATCATGCAAAAAGCCCCCATTCCTTCGTGGGGAGATAATAGGTTCTTTTTTTTTTACACTTACTTAGCCTATGATATCTGCCATGATGGTGGGCCCGGAATCCAACATGGAAGAATTCCCCAACTCCATCGTATAAGACTGTAGCATAACAGTTAAATAAGACAGAAGTGGGGGGGGGGGGGATCTTTTATTTTACAAGCTAAGCTCTAGCTATAGCCCGAACTGGGAAGAATACTCATACACGGGGATTAAGAATGCAAAGATCTAAGAAGGGTGGGGGATTAGCGTGATTATCAAGCCATAGACGGCCAATTAATATTTGCGTCTTTGAATGGCATTGAAGCTTGTGGTTCGATTATCGATTATCGGACGCTGAAGATTTTGTGAATCAGTTGATGAACGGTAGATTATACGATGGAAATATAAGATACTATTCTTCATCAGCTGTTACGGAAATGTGGAACTTGAATACAGTCTTATTTCTGAAGAAAACAAAAAAGAAAAAAGAAACAGCTCATTTCGACCGCGCGAACCGGATCAACGTCCTGTGAAGTCTAGATTCCAAAAAAGGTTCATGCATGATGTTTCAGCAGGTAATTAATACCGTGAAGCAATATCATATATCTAAAAGCCCCCCGTTTGCCGTTACCTGCTCTGTGTACTCAACACAAGTGGCGGTAAGTTGTAACTTCAACCCGTAGCCAAAAAACTAAAATAACCTCCCCCCCCTCATTCCGCTGCATTTCTTAGTTCTTTGCATTCTTAATACCCATGTATAAGTACTGTTCTCACTCGGGCTATAGAGTTTGTGAAATAAAGATTTTCAGGTTCCCCCCCCCCCCCCCCCACTTCTGTCTTATTTTTTTGGTTGTTATGCTACAGTCTAGATCTTACAGGATGGAGGTGGGTGTTTTTTCCATGTCGGATTTTTGTACCATTGTGGAAAAGATATTTCAATTGAATATTCTACCATAAAATTGGGATTGCAACGAGCCAGCTATGAAGGAAAGCTTCAATCTCTGTGTGAGGGAGTGAGGCAGTGAGGCGTTTTTTTTACACGGTTCGGAGAATGGCTACTGATCGGGTAAGTGGCTGTGGGTAATGCATAACAGTCAAAATATAAAATTAATTCACATCGAATAGACAGACAATCATATCTAACATCACCCATTGATCTATGTATAGCGCATTGAGAATATCAGTATTCCGTGGCTATTCTGCATACCAAACAGTACAGGTAATGACCCTTAACAGTTAGTGATGTTAGGTAATAATCTACGGTTAAGGAGTTCGCTGATGTACGATCATTTAAAGGACATGATTAGTACCTATTTCCCCCGGGCGTCATTTTTCTCGAGTCATGCATTGTGTTTCACTAGATCTATGTAAGTACCTCATGCTCATTCTCACAGTCCTGAATCGTACTTTATGGCTCATAACTCATAAATCGTACCTCGCACCTTGCAACTATAATTTCTAAGTATAATCCGCAAGTATAATCCACAAGTATAATCCGCAGGTACTATCTTGTCATCGTTATCATGGCTAAACCTCAAACCCCCGGAACCCAAGAGGAACACAACTATCATAACTCAATATTACCATCTAGCTACTCGAACTCTCGGAGTCATAATTCATCATTTGCTACAGTTCCTTTAAGCCTCCCAGCCTCCAGCCCTCCCGGGCGTGTGTGCGTGAAGTTGATAGCCCAAGGAAGGCCAATCGATATTTAGGCAAAACCGAACAACTCCCACCTTCCAAACCCCATTCAAATCCGATTCAATTCCGTTTAAATCCCGTACCAAGATAGGTGAGGTGATCGAGGACAAACCCCACGGCTTTTTCCACCATAAAACACAGGGCACTCATTCTCAGAAGCCAAAGTCAACGCCAACGATCAAACGCAACCAAATAAACATAAACATGGGATAAATCATTTTATATCTTTAACGTCACGCTAACCTCTGCATACGCTGCAGGCTGAGTATGATATATTCCATCGTCAATGGTTATCCTCCATTGACCCAGGACCATTATCGGGTAACTAATAACAACCACAGATGTTTCAGTATCGTGAATATTTAATTGATTGATTGAGGGTTCTAGTTGGTGCTGAAGTTTATTGATGAGGAGTCGAGAAGCCGAGGAGGTTGATGATTATACCTTCACCTCAACCTCAACTTCCTGGTAAAAACGATGGTTATGCAATTACCTCCATGAAACCTAAGTTCAGTATTTACTTCTTCATGAAATTCAAGTTCGAAATTTACTTTCAATATCCCTACCGGTCTTTACAGAAAACAGAAACAAGATCAATATGCCTTATGCATTCAACAAGAGCAAAAGCAGAGATCAAAATAAAACGATACCGGCAGGACTCGAACCTGCAACCTTTGGCAGATCTGGCTTGCTTATAGAACCGGAAGCCAACGCGCTACCATTGCGCCACGACACCAATAAGAGGGTTGTACGTGGTAGCAATTATAGGCCAAAGATTAGCAGTTATATCTTTGCTTACTTCTGGTTCCTTGGTAGTTGGGTTTGGAGGTACGATTAATTTTATTCTCTACCCATCGATGCTTCAACATCGTTGTCTTTTCTTTTCCTATCTTCTTTTGATAATACAGATAGTCTCATTATATGATCTTATCTCTAGTTACTACAGTTTAACCTCCTCTCCCCCGGGCTGCAAATCCTATAGCAACCCCCCCCCTCCCCAGGCCTATTCATAATATTCCTTATTCAAACGACTTTTTTTTGTTTTAGGATACTTTAATTGTAATTGGGGTTGATTTGAAAAGATGAAATACGTGAATGATACGAGGGGTGGATTTGCGTAACTGTGTTTTTCAGGTGAACCTGGAATTATGGATTGAAAGATAGAGAATCAACGAACACGTACTGATTTGATTTTCCTGGGAACAGGGCTTTGCATACATACCTAATTCCAAGTTATCTCGATAGCCAAAAAAAAAATCCAGTACGAAAGTTATCAATAGTGAAAGCATGAGCTAGACTCTCCAAAAGCTGTTATTCTCATCATTGTACAATGAGAGGAAGCCAAACATCCACGGGAATTATTTCATTTCATGATTTCGTTTCCGGAGCATTTATATCGACGACGACACGCTAGCTGCTATTGAGCGCACACAATAAACACTAATATAAAGGTTATAATCTCTAGTCTGTATCAACTCCACATTTTTGTAGGTATGGTCCCCCCTGGCTGAGCACAGATGTTGTGAGTTAACATCTGTACGGCGACGCATATGAGAAAAATTGATAGCCGTTATCAAATTCTCGATACCGTAATATGTGATCATGGCTGGTAACGGAAATACGGGGAAATCCAGCCCGAGATCTGGGTCTATACCTTCGTTGGTATTGAAGAGCTCTCATCATCCTGTCCGTATATCTGTTATTGACTCTGGATCATCGTAGGGGTCAATGAGTGAATGCAAATAGGGGCTTTAATAGTCTATCAAATCAGTCAAGACAATTGCATGAGGCAGATGTATAGTTGCTTAGTCTTTGCTACATTTGGTTGGAGTCTTGGTTGATGTCTCAGAACACGGTGGTGCTGGTGGTGGTGTTCGTGATAAGTAATTAGAGCTTTGTGTAGAGGAAGATCTTTGTATGAAGGATGTTAGGAGTGACTCGCTTTAGCAGGCGTTTGTTGGAGGTATCATGCTATCATGAGTAATGGAGGAGGAAGCTTAACTCGTAGCGTCTCTCTGTGGCAAGCAAAGGGGTTATGCCTCGTGGGTAACTGTACTCAGAAGGCTTGAAATCAGTCATATGCAGCAGACTGGAGAACGAATGATGAAGAGTAATACGATAGAAGCAATATTTTCTTTCTGCTTCAGTTTTATTGAAACATCGCACCCCTGTTTCTATCGTTGTTTCTCTTAGATTTGTAGAGGAGATGTGTTGCGATATCACAAGTCATGAAATGTACCGGTGCACATCACGACGGTGAAGATGTCATTAGTGGTTAGGATAACAAGGCGGTTTTCTACCCGTAAATAGTCTCAATTGAGCTTACATATCTATTGGTTATTTATAGCAGGTAGCCGCAACTGTCAACGGTAAGTTTAAGACTCTATCGTAATAACGACTATATTACGGTTTTTCCGTTCCTGTTAGAGACAGTTATCTTTAACTAGATCACGGTGATACAGGGGTGATATACCATTTGGAGAATAATGTATTTCACCGGTGCAGTGATTATTGTGATGTAGTTATTGCTTCTGCACTTTTGTACGTGCTCGGTTGATAGAAAACAATCTTGAATAACAGTAACAGCAGCGGTGCTATCAAATTCACCATGGAACTCCGATTTATCTCCCATATGACTATTCTAGGAATATATGTAACCACAAGTGCAATTACCAGGTTCTATGAGTCTCGTTTGATCCATCCGACAGCCCGATACCGTTGCATCACCACTCATAATACTGACACTCTAAGAAATCAGTAACAGAAAAAGGGGCTCTATGGGTTTCTTTCTGTGTGGTTTTAAAACTCTAAACTCCTGGTACAATTTCGGGCTAATCTCCAAAAGCACTATGTAACACTATAACTACGCAACGGTAATAGACTGTGGTTACAAGCATGATGGGAACTTGCAGGCGATTACAACGCTCCGATTACAAGGTTGCAAGTGCCAATTTTATGAACGGGTAGTGACTCCATTCATTTGAGGATTCCTAAATATCACTCGTATGCTTGGAAATCACCTATTAATGTCCAAATGAGAGTAAGCAAAGTATCCAAATGCGTAGAAACGGTTGCTATCGAAACCGTTTATGAGAAAATGCTAGATATGGTGAAGATCGAGCCTGAGCCACGTGTTGATGTCAGGTATCCATGGACTGTATTGGCTTAATCGATTGCGACGTCATAAACCATTTTAGAAACAGTTGTTACAGTCACTGAAGATCAATGCTGCCTCAGAAGATGGAAGAAATTCGCGAAGGTTTTATGAAGTGATATGGGTACCTGCATCTCCTTTTATGATTCTTCAAACACTAATATTCGTCATGCACCGATCAAGTGATTCAAATGTTATGGAAATTCACGGTACACCTGTACTTCCCAATCTGCCGATCACGAAAAATCTTCTCCTTTCGAATCTACTTCCAATAATTCCATCAGATGCGAGGTACCGTAAAAAGCTACCGCATCTGTCAAGTTTCATCTCCCAATATGTTTCACTCGTCTCACCGAATCCGTCGAGTTATCATTTTCTCAACAACCATAAATGCCATCCATTCTCCACCCAGTCTGAAACTCTCATCATCGCATCATCAGTCACTCATTTCAATCCCCACGTTCTTTACCAGACAACAACATGCTTTCCCTTCCGGTTATTCTTTTCGCTTCCTTGGCCTCGGCCGCCGTCTACGCACCTCCTCTCTCCGGTTACAACGGCACCTTTACCATTCTACCTGTCATGCCCACCGGCACCGGTATCATTCCCAGCGGTACCGTAGGTCTACCCATCGAAACCCTTGTCACCGCAACCGTGACCTACACAACCTGCTACACGACCATTACCACCAGTGTCTGCCCCAACCAACCCGGCCACTGTTCCTACACCAAAACCATGACCGCAACCTGTATCGGATCTCCCTGTGGATCTTCCACCATGACCCCTCCTATTCCAGTCGAGACTCCTCATTGCCCTGGTGGCGGTTACTGTCATCACTCGAAGCCCCCGGGACACTGTACTACTCCCGGATGCCCTCCTCCCCCTGGACATTGCACTACCCCCGGTTGCCCTCCTACTCCTCCTTCAACACTCACTACTGCTCCTCCAATGATGACTAGTTCACCTCCTCAGGAGGGACACTGCAATGGAGAACCTTGCAAGCCGAAGCCTACTCCTTGCAATGGAGAAGGATGCCCACCAGTAAAGCCTACTCCTTGCAATGGAGAAGGATGCCCACCAGGAAAACCCACCGTGACTCCTCCTGCTTGCAATGGAAATGGATGCCCACCAGGAAAGCCCACTGTGTCTCCTCCCCCTATGGCCTGTCCTAACGGTAACTGCACCACCAACAATATCCCTCCTCTTGAGACTTTCACAGGTGCGGCTTCTGGCGTTTTTGTGGCTGGACACGGAGTGGTTGCTGCGGTTGTTGCTGGGTTGATTGCGTTTGCTTTGTAGATGGTGGTTTAATGTTTAGTTGATTGAATAGGAGATGCTGGGGGCTGTAGGGAGATGTAATTTATTGAGTTAATAGTTAGTAATACAGGAAAATAAAAGAGATTTTTATGTTCCTTTATCATCTGGGGTTATTTATCAATGCTAATGGACTGCTTGATACGTCACATCACAATACGTCGTCCTGTTATTTTGTCAATAGTGATATTGGCATACACTTTAGTCGTCGTATTCACACGATATCACCTAGCTTCACCCTGGGCCCCAATTCCCGACAAAGTGGACATATTGAAAACCGTGATGAGATTGATATGATATACTATACAAGTTTATTCTAACATCTCAACAAACTGACATATATGATATACCTCGAAGAAATCCAACAGAAACAAAAACAAAAGCATTTCCAAAGAGCGCGAGCTCAAAAAATCCGTGTATCTAACGTTAACCACTGACCCATCCCCACCAGGAAGAAAAAGAAAAATATCAACGCCCAAACACCAATCCTCCAGTTACGTATTCTTTCATGCAATAGTCTCAATCTTTGCCTGTCCATCAATATCGGTATCATAGCGAATCCAGTTCTTGTCGCTCAACAACCTTTTCCACCGACGTCCAGAGCCACGAGACAATACAAAGCTGAGTTTCGCGCAGTGACCCTCCTCAACAACCTTCTCCTCCACCACAGTCTTGATGCTAGTCTGTACCATAACCTCAATGCTTCCCTTTCGGGGCATCATGTCAATCGGCTTCAATTCGTCGTTTGAGGGACTTGGTGGGAATTCAGTTGGCACGGTCGCGGCATCGCTTCCCTTGATCGTCGTAATAATGCTGCTCTCCTTGATCGCGGTGAACCTCCATCTGCCGAAAGCCCAGTTCAAAACCCACTTGTTGCCAACAGGTGGCGTAGTAGGTGTCTCTGCGTTGACCGGAGTGTCGGGGTGCATCGGTGGGGGAACACGGAATCTCATAATTCCCTTAATTCTGTAGACCTCATCCTTTGGTGCGGTATCTAGTAGCTGCTTGAGAGCGATGGGATCCACATAACCCTCCGGCGAAGCAGGTAAAGTAAGACTCAACACATCAACTTCGGAAGAATGAGTGTGATCGTGTTCCTCATGAATTCCTTCACCGGAGAATTCTCGAGCCAAACTCGAATCAATTCCAAAAATAACATCCTTATCAACTGAACCATCTGCTGCGGCTCTCATATACGGAGTCTCCGTCCAAATAGAACCAATTCTGTCAAGAACTCTATTTTCGCGATCTTCACCGGCAGCCTCCCA